TAACATATGATCCAGACTCGACTTTTGGGGGTTCAGACATAGCAACGAGGGACTATTTGGGATTGGTGACCAAGACTTGGTGTTAACGACATTCCAATCTTCCTCTCTCCTTTCGTCTGATCCTTATCTCTTTGTCTGTGTATGTCTGGACCTGGCGCCTTCTTCCTGTGTACAGCGCCAGGCTCCTTCACACTTGGTGAGGGATACGATGCATGTGTAGTTTGAGTTCAAACATGGGTTGGGCTAGACGATAGTATTCTAGCCCTCTGCTTCGCTACTTGATTCCTAAGTGAATGAGGTCCGTCCCAGTCAGGTCAGTCTTTGTATCAAGTCTTCCCTGCGCTCTTCAGCATCTTTATGTATGAATGAGAATGTACATTGCTGGTCGAGATTCTCGTAACTGCATTGTCTATTCAGTCCTTTTCATCACATTGCAGATTCTCGGTTTATTGTATACATTGCATATCTGTGCATGCAACAGTTGGTATCAGAGCTTTTGCACGTGAATCAGGACGATCTGATCTGACACGTGTCGGGGATCAAAAAGCTAGTTAATCTTTATTGCTTGATTAGAGCATACTGGTTAGACCCCAAGATCACGATTTTGACCTCACTACCGAAAATCGATTTTTTTTTCTTTTTCTTGGATTTTACTTTCTCGCTATTCTGTAGTGGAAAATCGCAATACCGCAACATCTGAAATTTCCATTTTTGTTTTGTTTCTGAAAATTCGAAATTTCGTTGTTAAAAATCCGGAAAATAGTTCTTTTTGAAAGTTTCGATTTCCTGTTGCATTTCCCGTTACTTAGAAATTCGGAATATCTTCTTTTCTGAAATTCGTTTTTCTGAAAATAGTACGGGAAATCCCTCCTGCACGTATTATTTCCCAAACTGCAAATATTCCCATCGGAATAAATCCGAATACTTGTCATTTCTGTTCGGACCTTTCTCGCAGTTCTTGGATTCTGTCAGTGGGTCTATAAATCTGTTACAGTCCAAGGTCGAAATTTTTTGCTTTCAGTGATCATTTCGAACTCCAAGGGAGGTTGGGAGACCTACCGAACTTGCAAAAATCGGGATTTTTATTTTCTCGAATTTTTTTTTTGCAAAGTTCAAACTTTTCTACTTTGATTAGTGGCTCCTTATCTAAGTGTGAGTTGGGCGATTATCCCACCCACCCCTCCCCACCCATGTCGTTGCCATCTCTTGCCTTATCTGCTCTGTTTGTCTTCGGGTACCCCTTGCGGCAGCATTGGTAAGTTGCCACGTCAACAGGCCACGTCAGCAGACCACGTCAGCAGGCGACGTCAGCAGGACACGTCAGCATTGCGACGTCAGCAGCAAGGGATACCACATCAGCAGGCACCGGTCTGGTCTATGCTGTGGCGTTCATAGACAGCAGTCATGGACCAGAAGGCCGGGGAAACAGACGAGGCCTATCAGGCCCGCATGTTAGCCTGGAGTACCGAGACAAAGAAGCGGGCAGATGACGCTGCCGCAGCAGCAAAGAAAAGGGCAGAGGATGCGGAGCAGGCACGCCTGCTGGCAGTTGAACAACAGCGCTAGCATGACGAGGCAGCAGCAAGGGCTGCCGATGAAGAAAGAACACAGCGTCGTGAGAAGATATTCACCGGAGAGCGGGCGTTACTTACCATGGCAGTAGAATGGCGAACCGAGGCCGAGAATAACTAGTTGGAGAATAGCGCAAACAAGATAGCGCTCCTCCTCTCGCATCTCATGGATCTCCTGGCAACCTGCATTACACAACAGGCAGAGATCCTTGGTCTCGACAGATCGCTAGCGCACCTCCAAGACCGTTTTCAGCGGTTGGAGCAGCGACCAGTCGCCGCCGCCGACGCAGGCTCGTCCAATACTGTCGACCGCCTCAGTGCCTTGGAGATGCATGTCGGCTAACTCCAGGATGGCACTCAATTACAGCTCACCGCGACGCAACACTTGCAGCAGCGGGTCTGTACCACTGCCACTACCTCGAGTTCGGAGCCGCGCGAGTCAACTCCAAAGTTTGATGGGCAGGAGATCTTCTGCGACTCCATGAAGACAGATCCGATTCCATGGTTCCGAAAGTTCGAGCTCACGCTGCAGCTGTTCAACGTCAAGCAACACAAGCATCACGCCTACTTGTACTCTCGATCAGGGGGCGCGTGCCAGGCTTGGTTGGACAACCTCCTGTCTAAGTACGGAGTGGTAGCGGCCGACTTGCACACCAAGATCATTTGGGATGATCTGAAGGCGGCGTGGCACAAGCGGTTCCAGGTGGAGCCGCCAGAGATCAACGCCATGGAAAAGCTCATGGTCTTCGAGCAAGGCACGCTGCCAAGTACGGACTGGATCGCCGAGTACCAACGCTTGACGTCAGTCCCAGACATCCAAATGGGCTTCAAGGCCATCCGCCACTACTTCATCTCAAGGTCATGTCCGACATTGAGCAATGCCCTGACGCATGTCGAGGACACCTTGACGACGACGGTAGAGTTATTTGACAAGGCTGCGCAGATCATTGTCACAAACAAGGAGGCCAAGAACCTCCGTTCATCTGCGTCAGGCCCGAGCAGGGACCAGCATCAGCCAAGAGTGGCCGTGGTCGCAGCGGCAGCGCCGTTAGACCAAACCAGCGAGGCTGCGTCTGCCAGTGAAGGAGACAAATTCGCAGCCGCCCGGGAAGGTGGCCACGCCGGCAGAGGTCGAGGGCGAGGCAAGCCGAAGACACACACCGTTTCTAGCCCCGGGCCCGGTGAAGCATCTCAGACAGGCCCATGGACCCCGTATGACATCTCCGAGTCCGCATACAAGGTGCACGAGAGATTCCCTATTGCCTTTTGTGCAACAACGATCTTCATCAGACGCAGGTTTGCCCATTGAAAGGCAAGGGCAAATAGGGAAATTGAGCACCGCCGAGAGTGATGCGACGACACTCTCGACGCCTTCGGAACTGGTTTCTTCGCGAGTGACCAGCCTTCATTCCGAGGCGCTCGCGGAAGTCGACAGTCCTCCGCTTCTATTTTCTTTTGAGGACTATGCTGCCCGGCTCGTTCCAACGCTGGGTACTCAAGCTCAAGGACAAGGAGTGTGTGCGGTTTCTTCTCTCTGGCAACAGCGACATATCATCTTCAAGTGGTTCGTCACGTGATTCGGCGCGCGAGTTCAAGATAGAGGTTTTGGACCCGCTCACGTCTGAGGACATTGCATGGCTTCCTCTCCTGACCACAGGCTCTTTGCCGGGATCGCAATGCACAACACTTAGCGCTCATCTCCACACTTACCTTTCCTTCTAGGCACCACCAACTTCGCCGACGGATGACGAAGTCGCGGTGGGGGACATCCTGGCGTACGTTACCAAGGTGGCCCGCGAGTTTCGCACGCAGCAGTACGATAACAACAATGCACCGCTCATGTATGTTCGCATTCAGGTTGGGCAAGTGTCCTGCAACGCTTTGCTGGATAGCGGCGCGACTTGCAACTTCATAAGCCAGTCTTTTATGTAAAGGGCTGGCCTTGGCGCACAAGTTCGGAGAAAGGCAAACCCGACGGCGGTCAAGTTGGCGGATGGAAAGACGCAGCAACTGCTCTTCCGTTACATTGAGGCCGTACCGGTCTACTTCGCATGACATTCGATATTCTCGACATGGACTTCGACATCATTCTGGGAATGCCTTGGCTCGCAAGTGCGGATCACACGGTCAACTTCCATCGGCGGACTCTTAGCGTTCGCGACGCCTTCGGCGCGGAAGTGGCGTGTAACATTCCTCTACCGCACTCTTCGATCCGGTGCCAAGTGGTGACAGCCAAATCATTCCGGGTGACTTGTGCTTACGAGCAGCTTGAGGAGATCGGCCTATGTTTCCTACGGACCGTCGCGCTAGCCGACTCTTCACCCACGGACTTGTCTTCGGACCCSCGTGTGGTACCGTTGCTGGACGAGTTCGCCGACATCTTCGAGTCACCTACCGGTGTGGTGTCGGGTCGACCGATCTCTCACGAGATCATTCTTGAGGTCGGTGCCGTGCCGCCGAAAGGTTGCATCTATCGGATGAGCGAGGAGGAGCTTAAGGTACTCCGTGCACAACTCGACGATTTGTTGGGCAAGGGCTGGATCCGCCCGAGTAGCTCCCCATACGGAGCACTAGTTCTCTTCGTCAGGAAGAAGAACAAGGATCTACGATTGTGTATCGACTACCGCAAGCTCAACGCGCAAACCGTCAAGAATGCGGGGCCTCTTCCTCGCATCGACGATCTTCTTGAGCGACTGGGCGGCGCGCAGTATTTTTCCAAGTTGGATTTGAAATCGGGATATCATCAAATCTCGATCCAGCCGAAYGATCGCTACAAGACCGCGTTCAAGACGCGGTACGGGTATTTTGAGTGGGTGGTCATGCCTTTTGGCCTCACCAACGCCCCGGCGACGTTCCAGGCGGCGATGACAAATGAGTTCCGTGCAATGTTGGACCGGTTCGTGCTGGTCTACTTGGACGATATTCTCGTCTATAACCGGATATTGGAGGATCATCTTGGACATCTTCGACGAGTGTTGGAGACGCTCCGCCGTGCCAAGTACAAGGCCAACCACGACAAGTGCGAATTTGTCCGGCAAGAGCTGGAATACTTGGGCCATTTTGTTACACCGGAGGGCATCAGTCCGCTATCGGACAAGATTCAGGCCGTCCAAGAGTGGCCGGAGCCTTGGAACGTCACGGATGTCCGCTCGTTCCTCGATCTTACTGGCTACTATCAGCGCTTCATCAAAGGATACTCTAAGATCGCGGCCCACTTGAACAAGCTTCAGTGCGAGGATCGACCGTTTGACTTCGGAGAGGAGGCGCGAGGATCATTCTTCGCTTTCAAAGCCGCGCTATTGTCTGCGGAGGTCTTGCGGATATACGACCCGCTCGCGCCTACACGTGTCACTACGGATGCGTCAGGCTATGGCATTGGTGCAGTCCTCGAGCAACATGATGGTGTGGACTGGCACCCGGTCGAATACTTCAGCAAGAAAGTGCCTCTTATGCATTCCATTGACAATGCACGCAAGAAGGAGCTCCTCGCCTTCGTCCACGCGCTCAAGCGGTGGCGGCACTTCCTTCTTGGTCGAAGCCAATTTCGATGGGTAACGGACAACAATTCGTTGGTCTTCTACAAGACCCAAGACACCGTCAACAACACCATCGCTCGATGGATGGCTTTCATCGACCAGTTCGACTTCTTTCCCGATCACATTCCCGGGAAGTTGAACCGTTTTGCGGATGCTCTCTCACGGCGTCCGGATCATTGTACCGCAGTCTACTCGACCTTCGAGATTGACGACGACCTGCGGAACAGCTTCATCCGCGGTTACCATGCCGACCCCGATTTTCGAGACAAGTATGCGAATTGCTCCTCTCCTAATCCGGCTCCTTCTCGCTACCGGATCCAAGAGGGGTACTTGCTTGTCCACACGCGGGGGAAGGACCTTCTTTGCGTACCAAGTGACCCTCACTTGCGTACACGGCTTCTTGGCGAGTTCCACGACGCTCCCGCCATTGGACATTTTGGAGTCGATCGCACGATTGGCCGACTTTGCCAGCGATTTTGGTGGCCCGGCCTTCTCGGCGACGTCACGCGGTATTGCGAGTCATGCGAGGTTTGCCGACGCTGCAAATCTCGCAACCATCGTCCGTACGGCGAGTTACGACCATTGCCAGTCCCGTTGCGGCGAAGGGAAGCGATTGCAACGGACATCACCGGCCCGTTTCCCAAGCACAAGACCGGAGTGGATGGGATTCTCACGGTGGTCGACCGACTCACCAAGTTCGCCATGTTTTTGCGTTGTCGCTATCATGCCAAGGCACCGGAGTTGGCCGAGGTTCTGTACGCCGGTTGGATTCGCACCAAGGGTTACCCCAAGGAGATCGTTTGTGACCGYGACACTCGGTTCATGTCCGATTTTTGGTTGGCGCTCATCAAGCGATGGGGCTCATCTCTCAAGCCCAGTTCAGCTCGCCACCCTCAGACCGATGGCCAGACGGAGAGGGCGCATCAGACCGCACAGGTTCTCCTTCGCACTCTCATCCGCCCTGACCAGAAAGACTGGGTTGAGCGACTGCCGGACGTTGAGTTGGCCTTCAACTCTTCCATCCACCCGGCTATTGGGATATCGCCCTTCGAGTTCGAGCACGGCTCGCCGGTCACGTCACCGTTGGACACGATTACTCCACGCAACGGCGAGAGCGACGACCATCTTCTTTTCTTGCGTCGGATGCAAGAGCTTCTTGACACGCGACCAGATGGCTAAGACGCAACAGCGCATGGGCCAACAGGCAAATCGCCAACATCTTCCTTGTCCATTCCGCGCCGGAGACCTTGTCTGGGTTTCAGCAGTGGAATTCAGCCTTGAACAGGACATTTCTCGCAAGCTCCTTCCGAAATGGATGGGGCCTTGGCCGATCATCGAGCCTGCTGGGGGCGCACCCGAGGGACCTTCCTTCATGATTCAGGTGCCTAGCCACTTGCCCGTCTACCCAGTCTTTCATTGTTCCAAATCGGCTCTGGACACGCCTGCGGAACATGATGATTTTCCCGGGAGACGTACGCAGGATCCACTTTCTGTGGATGGTTTTCAGGAGGTCGGCGACATCATCTCCCAGCGACGCTACGACAAGAAGCCAACTGAGTATTTAGTGCATTTTGCATACTGCACACACCGAGATGATCGTTGGTTGACCCGTGCAAAACTTCAAGCAATAGCTCCAGACGTTCTCGCACGCTACGAACGCAAGATGCAATGCAAGCCGGTTTCTTCGGCTCCACACCTCGCCCGCGTCCATGTTCCACCTTCAGATTGTCGTCTTCGCCCTCGCCCCGACTTGACTTCATAAGGAGGGGGGGGTGTTGCATGCTGTGCCTGCACACAAGGGCCATTTTAAAGGTTTGGGAAGTGGCAAGGGCAGCCTCCTGGACGGGCCAGCACTATATAAGACTGGCCCGCACTACAGGCAGGCAGGTAGTTTTCCCAGGCACTTCACGTGCAGGCAGTTCGACAGTTGTAGTCTTCAGGATTCGGGTGCAGCACTCTGGAGGGAGC